ATTGGGGCTCACTTGCTCTTAAGCATGAATTATCACTGATTTCTGGATTTGCATTGAGGCTTAATGAAACAATGCTTGTGTAAATGCCAACACTGTGAAAAAAGAGCTTAGGCTCTACTTGGATATGTTCCTTATATGAAACTCCTTCTGTGTCCAGAGCTTACTAACCTTAGGTGTGAGTTCTGTGAAATGCAGGAGAACGTAGGACAAGATGGTGATTCCCAGGATGATGCTCAGCATTTTCCAGATGACTCTAGCTGACCATGAGGGAAGAAATGGGGTAAGCTGGTAAGAGTTGTCTGTCAATAGAGGCCATGGCTGTGGTCCCGTGATGTGGGCCTGTATGTATAATCCTGTGCCACGCAAGAGTTATGCAATGCATTTGCCTCTCCTATGTGTCACCACTGGATAGCCCGTGCCCTATGATGTAATATTTACTCCCAGATGTACATATTATCAGTCTCATTTCATAAAAGACAGCAGTGGGTGAGATTAGGCAGCATGTCTGGTAGCATATATATCGTACACGATACCCTATGTAAGTTTATCCTTGTTGCTGTTAATGGTAGTCAGTGTGATTAATAAAACAGTAATGACGGCACTGCCTCACCCTTCAGTCTTCACCCATGCATCCTTTGCTCGCTCTGTATACCCACTCTTGAGTTATGCCTCGCTTGGAGCATCACACTTTCCATCATCTAGAATGTTCTTTATACCCAATAGCCTAACAACCACCTCCACTGTCACTTCTCACTGTGTGCCTTCCTGAATTGGCTCTCTCTACCCTTGTTGGTTACCCTAGGCCACGTCACCCCTAACATTCTTCCCATCATCCACCTCTCCTGGCCTACCTGGGCTCCCTTAAGTGTGCAGTATTTGCTACGTTAGCTGCTTGCACATACCTTGGGGTGGTGAGCTTTTGGAAGGCACAGTAGTGTTTTATTGGGATAAAACATGCTACACAGGGGTCCCAGATAAGGATTCGGGAACGAGGGCTCCTTTCAGAGATCAGTTATATGCTGAATTCCTCAAGAGTCACACTGGTCTTTGTGTAAAATGTGTTATTTAGCCTACATTGTCCTTTAGATCCAAATGAAGGATTTCATTCCTCCTTATAATCCACAAGGCTCAGTACACTAGAACCCTGAACAATTCTGTATATCACAAAAGTCAGATGCGAGTTTCCAGGTAGTTGCCTAGGTGATGGGAAGTGGTTAAAACAGGCAAAGTTGTGGTGTAATCCACCATGTTTCCCTACATGCCTATTCCTTAGTGTGAAGACTCACTACTGCTTTAAATCTGTAAATGCTTTAAATTGCTTTAAATGCTCTGCCTGGCAACGTGTGCCGCACATCCGAAGCCCACATTTACAAATGCCTTGTCCTCTCTGGGAGCGGACTCAGTGTCTCTCTCAAGCACTTCCCAGCATAGTTTTCTCCTGCTGTATGGTCATTATTGCTTGTCACATAGGGTCACCTGTTCTCTTTCCACTGGTAAAAACTATTGTCTTTTTTAATCTGATTAGCACTCAGGACCCAATTCACTGAAATAGATCTTTGCTCCCTCCCTGTTCAAATGCTCCTGCGAGGGATTTTAAGGTCTTTTTATAAAATTTGGTTGGGCCATATGCTATATGGCTTTATAAGCCCTTGAGTGGACTTAAGCTACACTGTCTGTTGGCACTTCAGCTCTAAGTGGACTGGACTATAGCGAGGAGGGATTTTGGAACAGTAATTTCCTTATAATTTCCTAATAATTTCATTATTTCCTCATGAAAGTCACCAATTTTAATGTTTTACTTTTGATTATTTAACATTTTGCCAGTAGGGGAAGCTGGGTAAAGAGTACACAGGAATGCTATGTATTATCTTTGCAACTGTTATACAAATGTAAAATTATTCCCCCAAAGAATTTTTTTTTTTTTAAACTGGGCCATGCTGGGTGTAGTGGTGGGTGCCTATTGAGAAGCTGAGTCAAAAGGACCACAAATTTGAGCTCAGCCTCGGCAATTTAGCAATACTCTCAAAATAAGGGCGGTTGGGATTGGGCTAGGAATATCTCTCAGTGCAAAGGCCCTGGGTTCAATCTCCACCATGACAAAAAGTGGGCAGGGTGAAAATTTGACTTTGCTAGCATTTCTTATTGCATGAATATCTTCATATCTGGTTATCCCAACAATCTGGAGAATCACGTAGAAAAAAGAACCACAGAAGCTTATCGACTCTCCTGTTTTTGAAAGAAAGTCCATGAAAAAACTGAAGAAGATAAAAGTGAAACAAAACCTGAACCTGGGTGTAGGTGGTGCACAGGCACCATGTTAAGGTGGAGACCAGATTGGCCTCTTGGGAAATGGGACAGAAGAGTCACCACAGGGTCCAGTCAGGACAGTGACATGTTCCCTGATGAGCATGTCATTGCTTTCCTCCTCTCCTTCTAGGGACACCCGCAGGCCACACATGCATGCGTGCTCACACACACACACACACACACACACACACACACACACACACGGTCAGAAAATTCTTTACAAAACCCAAGTTCCCCTGTTCTAAAAAGCCTGTCCTTTCTTTCCTTAAGAACAATACGTTTCTCACCCAGGAGCTGGTTATGGTCTCAGCCGGCTGGCCTGATTCTGCATGATCATTTTGACTTTTGCACTTGGCAACTTTCTGCTTCCTCCTAGAAAAATGTTCATGCCAACAGTAAAGCTATTTTACTTCTAAATATAGCGTAACAGATGTGAATGAGGACTGTATTATCTTCTGTTACACACAGGGTCTTTCTTTTACTGAGAAAAGCCAGTCGATAGGCTCAGCTACCTCAGTCGAGGTCAGTGAGATTGGTATGATTCCTTTAAGCTATGGTTACCTTACCCCAGATTGGTGTAAGTGTCTGTACCTAGAGATTCCATCAATTTTTAAAAACCTGAATATGACTCATACATGTGAATTTTCCCTATTGAGTGGTTTCATTCATCTTCAAATTATTCACAATTCAAAATACAGTATGAAACACACCTTTAGACATGTATCTTTGCATAGGATAATTGTCATTTTTGGGTATAGATTCGTCTGATCTAGCACTTTCGACGAGTACCTGGGTACAGGCTAGATTGCTGATTTGACTTGTCAACCTGAGGCATTTAGCATCTATGTGGGGCTGTGCCCAGGGTGCACATGCTTCTAACTGGTGACATTGAGTTTCTATTTCTGAACATATTTGGGTTTTATGTGATAACATTTGTTCATCAAACTTTCTAAATTTATCTTGCATGAAGACAAAGGTGATTCTGGGTCCTCTCACTCTTCTAGTTCTTTCAAAACTGGCCATGTTTCTTAATAACTCAAGTTATGAGTATCAAGAATGTGGACTTGTAGCTAGCTTGAAGCAGCAGCTGGCTTCCTGGCCATGAGCACTTCTGGCTGGTACAGCATGAGGGGCACAGGCAGAATATAAACCGCTGGTGCTGGAGTAATGTGGAAATATGCAAGTTCTTATTTTCAGTCTTTCCCTTAGAAAGGACCACACGTGACACTTGTTTGGCTGTTAGCCAAGAGGAAGGTGGTCTACAAACGAAGTCCAGAACACAAATTTCACTTGGTTTTGTATGAATGGATCCAATTATGGGAGTCAAAATGATCCCTTATTTCAATTTCTGTGAATTCTCTTATTTCTAACAGCCTTAGGATCTTAACTTTTGGATATTTTAATTCCTCCAGCAATTTAAGTTTTCTTTGAAAATGAATTAAAGGCTAACTTTAATGTACCTTACAATGTGGTCCTTTTAAATAAAACACGGTTAATGATTACATGAGAGACACTGACGGATCCCCAGGCTCATTTACCCCTTTTTAGTAGTAGTTTATGATCAAATATAATACTAAAAGACTAAATGCTTGTGGCTCTTTTATATATATTTAAAACACACAATAAGAACATAAGAACATCTCAAATCATTTAGAAGGTCAAAGGGTTATCAACCAAAATCTTTGGAAATTTCATAAAATTTAAGTATCTGCAAACAATCCAACCAAAAAGGAAAAAAAAAATCTCAACATTTGGCTATGGAGGGCACTTCACATGTGAACCAAATGGTGTTATAACATTTCCTTCAGATAAACTAGTCACTAAATCCCATTAGAAAGAATACAAGAGCAATTATCGGAGACATCCCCAAATACCACGCACTCAGAACATCGTGTCACGAAATGCCCATCTACGTGGCTTTCCTTTACACTGCATACATCACTTTACATCTCTACAGTGCAATGTTGAAACAGCCTCCAAGTTTTGTAAAGCAGATCGAAGTGCATTCTACAAAAATATGAACTTACAGTACATAACACTGAATAATTTTAGTCTGTACATTTCTCCCCTCCCATCAAAGGTGACACACATAAGTTTGTACAAGTTAGGGGAAAAAAATCTGGTTGTTTACATCTGCATTAAGAGTCAACAGAGTCAACCAGAAGTTGGCGGGGTGGGTATAGTTTGAGAAAGTATAAATACAGTGTAATGTTAATTGTGGTTAACAATATTCAACTTTTAACAAAGTGATACAAAATAAATCTTTTGACTGAAAAGATCTAGTTGAGAACGTTCTACCAAACAACCGACCAACTGATCCAAAGGTTAAGGCTGACATGACTTAGCAACCTGCAGCACAACCAAAAACATTGGCGCAGTTCAGAGCTCTTCAAATGCATAGCTTCAGTAGCACGTTAACTCTATTCCTCCAATTAGTTAATCCTCTAGACAGTTTTCTCTTTGTTTTGCATGCAACCCATTCCATTTTCATTAAGGGCATCTCTTCCTTGATCAACCATGTGCTTTGCTTTTCAATTTTCTTTTAATTTAAATTTTAAAAATTTTTCTGTGTTTTGTCTTTAAGCTGCCAATACCTCCAACACTTGGAAATATAGTTATAGATGCCATCTTATAGAAGAGAATCATAACTATATGGACAATGCAAAATGAAATGAAACAAGTGTCAGAAACAGTTTATAAAAATGGCACATTTATTGCTACAGAACGGTCATGTACATGACTTCATTGAATACTACAGATGGAAACAGGTAGTGGCCTAGACCAAGCTGGGTTTGTTTTTGTCTCGAAGGAAACTCCAGCACACAACCTGTTTGGACACTTCTACAAATCAGAAATACACCAAAAACATGAAAAAATCGAGGCACTCAGCCACACATTGAAAACAAGGTGTAACTGTTTATCTTTTTTTTTTTTTTTGAAATGTTTTCCCTTTTTTTCTTTTTTTAACAATTTTTTTTTTAGTTTTTAATGCTGCAGCTATGTGTACAGTCGCAAAAAATTTCCCCGCTGCGACCTACAACTAAAAACAAAACAAAAACAAAAACGAAAACAAAACAAACAAAAAAGCTACCATACAGTTTCATCTTGGTAACACATGGCAAAATAACATCTTTTAAATAGTAAAATAAAGTAACAAACTTTTACTCATAATGATTCCAAAAATCTACAAAGAAGAAATATTCAGAATCTGACAATTTTTTTTTGTAATATTCATGGTATAAAAGGATTGCTCCTGCGAAAAATAAGCCAAATATATTTTTTATTTTTAAATTTAGGGTTTTTTTTCCTACTAGGGTGTACTACAGTCTATTTTATAGCAAAAAGAGCACTAGACAAACAAAGCTTTATAACAAAAAGCCAGGCACTGATACATGGTAAATCTCTGCTTTTTTTCTTATCTTCACTTAATTGCATCACAAGTAACAAGAATGAAAAAGGCCACAGTTCATATATTTTCACCATTACATATGTCTATAATACTTGAAATGAGTATGGCAAAACCAGCACTGCACAAAGATGAGTCCACTTCAAGTCCCATGAGAAAGAGCGTGTCTCTAAAGAAAAACAAACAAAACCAAAGCAAAATAAAGAGAGGCCTAAAGGCCTTGGTGCCCCATTGTGTTGGAATTCATCATATTCCATCTTGACTTTTTTTGCTTCCAGTCAGCCAGCAGACTAAATTTTTGTGCTCATTTATGCTGAAATGGTTTCACTCCTGACTCAAGTTCACTTTTGGACACAGATCATATTCTGCCTGTTGGATGCAAAGACGAAAATCCTCTTAACCCCCAGTCTCAGTTCAGCTCCCTCCCCACTCCCCAACCCCTCAACAAAATAAAGATTATGAATAAAAAAAAATTCAATAGGAAAAAGTGAAAAACAAAAAAGGAATCGGAAGACTGAATCAGAACCAGTTGCACCACTGGGTGGACTGACAGTTGTATAAACATTAGTGTTCCTTGCAGCTACACAGAAGACAAATGGTAAAAATTTCTAGATGAACAGATCCCTATTCTGCATATTCATAAATTACTTGAATGTGGAGGTGGATCAACTGTTCCATGTTGCTTTCAAAGTCCAAGTTTCTTAAACCGATCCCCAGCCTAAGTAGTATCATATATACGATATATCTATCTACCTATTATATATATATATCGTATTTATGATCCACTACATATACATACATATATATATGTATATATATATATATATATACATATATATATGAGCATGGACCCTTATGAAATTTCTGTATAGCACTTTAATCCTGTCTTTGCTAATTTAAATTCAAAAGTCCAGTGCAGGATACCAATATCTTACCTGGGTTTGAAAATTATAAAACAACAAGAAAAAACACACTACAAGGCCACATTCCCTTTCTTCTTCTTTTCCTCCTCCTTCTTCTTTTTTTACTGGGGATACAACCCAATAAAAATACAGATAGGTGCAGATCGTGTTTCTCCACCAAGCAAACAAGCAGCAAGCAGTTTCTGGTGGCCCTTAGGAAGTTTTCACTTAAGTCCAAGGGGAATTCAACAATAGAGGTATTACATTACTAAGTAATGAATACATCAAAGCTGGTGAACAAGAAATTGCAGCTTTTACTCTGTTTGAGTGAGAACAAAATATAAAGCACCAATTTAAAAAATAACCAAATGACTACAATTTAATTTTTTGCTTTGTTTACAGGTTTGAAAACTTTAATTCAGCTCTATTAAGCACCTTTATGATAACACGTATCAAAAGTGCCATTCTTAAAATGTACATCAACGCAGGGAGTGTTTCCAGTTCCCTAAAGAGTAAACACCATACTTCTTCTGTACACTTATCCTGAATGTGATCAGAGTATACCTGCTTCCTATATAATATTGTTCCTAGGGATACCCGCCTTGGTAGACTATACAAAATGAGTGCAGAATGTACCACTAAAAGGAAATCTTTAACATACTGAGGGAACAAGTACACATGGTTTCCATTATTCAGGGAGGAGGGGAGAGTATACATTGTCTTCCATGCCCTTCTTTGAGACCCTTTGTTCGTACATGTCACAGGAAAGCCCCCATATAACTTTTCAGGAAGTTTGATTTCTGCTCTTCTCCTAAGGTTGTAATCCACCTCCACATTTTAGAAACTTATTAACAAATCAAAGGTTTTTTTTTTTAGTTTTATCGCTACTGAACATATTTACAGTTTTCAACACACACACACAGCTAATCAAAATGTTCATGGGTTTGTAAAAGATGACCACGTGATAACTATCTTATTTGTTCTTACATTTTCAGAAAGGAACATAAAATTCAGATTCTTGTAGCTCACTATTTCATTTAAATGAGACTTCTTTTAAACCACACAGTTTAGAAAAACAAAAACTGATACAATGTATTAAAACACATAATAACAAGAGTCTACATGTAAAAATATAACTTTTACATACACAATTTCAAAATAATGATACGTTTGCCATTTGTTGCATAAAATTTACAAATGTATTTCATTACTATATAACTGGCAAAACAGGAGAACAGATGGAACATTTAGACCATTTTGATGGATTTATGGCATTTACTCAGTGCTGATAGGTGGAAAAACTACTTGAACAGGGATTGTTTTTTCTTAATACATGCCAAGATTGTGTGGCTGTAAAAATAGAAACGAGTTAGAGACAAAAGGGTGCTGACAAATACTTAACTAGGAGCACTATCTGTTTACTGCACTATACACCAAAGTCAATCATTATAAAGATTTATGATGGAAATTGGTTCAATTGTGCCCAGACGTCAAAGCTAGCTATCTGATGAGTTGCTGTGCCATAGCTTGATCTATGTTTCTATCAAATATGGTAAGTATAAACTTCATTCATACTGGCCAGAGAAATACTGCACTACCCCTCCTCAAAAAAGTGCAACTTAATGCTTTAGGACTTATAAGGCTTGTTATAATGCTGCATGATGACTGAATATTGGCATTTTTCAGACGAAGGAGGAGGCAGGTTAAGTCATCTACTTTTTAGTAAACCCATTTTGAAAAAAAAAATTAAGAAAGCAACAAAATCAATCAGCTCTGTCACACTACTTGCAATTTTCTCATTTGACAGTTTTTGAACTTTGTTTTTTTTGTTTTTGTTTTTTTCCAAAAATCTGACCATGTATTCAGAAACGCCTCACTGCACACTACTTCGGCTACACAGGTAGGTAACACTTTAATCGTTTTGTTAAATCACAGCCACTTTGATTATGTTATGTTTCCGATGATATAAACATTGGAAGGCACAGTGGTAACATTGTAGCATTCTAACCTTGTACCTCTGAAAATCCCAGAATAGGGTCACAAATGCAACACTACAAGTCAGACAAACTCTTGTTGCCATGTCTTGGTAATGGTGCTTGTAATATCTACACACGATGTGACTTTTAAGTCCGGTGTTCCCAAAAGACTGGAGAAACAACTTTCTACTTATTTATGAATGAGAAGCAACTTCAGGGTCAGCATTTCATCCTGCACTGTGCCCCTCCAGAAGCAGAGTTGGCACTACAGGTTATGATAACAAACCAGAGAGGGGGACAGAAATAAGACCAAAAAAAAAAAAAAATTCCCCAAAAAACCAACAGCAACAAAGAACAAAACCAAAAAAAGAAAAAGAGAGAAAAGGAAGAAAAAAAAAAAAAAAAAAAAAGGAAAAAATTCGTATTTACAGTAAAATCTTTCTTTTAAAAAAGTTAATCAGTACTATTTTTTTACAGGAGAAAAAAGTCTGAAACAAATGAACAAAAGCTTACCATAGTCACTAAATTTTTAATATATATTTATATATATATTTATATATATATTTGTCATAGGTCTATAAGATCCATCTGTTCCTCCTACCCTAAGGAATGGCTAATGTCATCACTTCGTTGTCGTCAGGACGTTTGCTGGTTTTGTTATTAGGGCAGCCGAGCTTCCCCTATTCAATATCCAGTAATTATAAACACTAGCTGACTTGAATACCAACAAAAACGTTCATGTAGTTTTCTTCAGAAGTACACTTTTTCATTATTGCAAGTTTACAATTTTTTAAATTAAATATTTTTTTCAGACTTACAAATTAATTATATTTTTTTTTTTCCAAAAGAAGTTTAGGCACAAATGCATTGTTCCACAGTGTGGAGAGATTGCCATTCAGTCTCTGGGCTGCGTCTCAGCCTGTACATACTGCTTTGCACATTCTGAATGATATGTTAAAGAAAGTCGTCCCTCAAGTTGCACTTTTTTCTTTCTTTTTTTTGTGTGTTTTTCTGTTTTTTGATAATTGGGAATGCTGAAACCTCTTGCGTCTGCGATTCATAACTACTCAGACTTGTCTTATATTACAAAAAAGGGGGTTAAGGAGAAGTGTTTATGTGGGTTTAAGATAATACAGCTGTTAAGGAAGTGGTCTCTTGTTTTAATGAAGCAATGTGGCAACTTGGACCTGAGAAAAGAAAAAGAGAGAAGAATTAATTAGTGTTTTCCTGAAAGAGGAGGTGCTTTAAAAAAAGGCATTTTTTTTTTTTTTTTCGAGAAAGAACTATCTGTTCATTTGGGTCAGACTTGGCTGTTCTGGCTGGGTGTAGGCGAGAGGGATGCGTGAGGATCTCAGAGGTGGGGGGGGGACTTGCCCTTTCACATCTGTCCCATGTGATTTGATGTGTCTCCCATTCCAGGGTGTGGGCCAGCCAAGGAGAGGGGCGGAGGCTCTGAGGACACCTTTTCTTCCTCCCTTCTCTTTAGACAGGCTGCTTTCGGATTCAGGTTTCTTTCTGTGGAGGATGAGGGCACAGGGTGTTTTGTTAACGCCGAGGTTTCTGGTAGAGGGTTGCAGTCCCCTCCGCCTCCATTTCTCCCACCTCCTGGCTCAGCTTCACTTCACAGTTAGGAAACGTGCACTACGGCGATTCAATGGGTTGGTCACCATTGAACTGCACAGATAATCTGTACCAGTATTTTCAGTTAAAAAAAAAAAAAATCGGTAAAGCAAGTGAACTAAGCTCTTCTGATAACTGACAGTACAAACTGAGACTACCATGTAATGCTAATTGTAAGAGAATCCTATAGCTTAATTATCAGACAAGGACTGCTGCTTTATAGATTTAAAGATGATGGCTTGGCTGTCTGCTCCTGCTCACGGCTGAATGTTGCTCTTGACTCACTGACCTCGGACTTGCTGCTCCAAGCTGAGGATGACGGCCACGGCCTGGTGGAGGATCAGGAGCTTGGTCTGGGGCTTGTCGCTCTTGAGGTGGAGCTGCACCATGCGCCCGAGCTCCTTGAAAGCCTCATTGATGTCTCGGACCCGCAGGCGTTCACGGGCGTTGTTAGCCATCCTTCGCTCCTTCTCCCGCTCAGCCTTCTGCTCCGGGGTCAGGTCCTCATCATCGTTATTGCTGTGGGACAAAAGGGAGGAGACATTTTCTAACGGTGTGGGGAAGAGGAAGGTACTTAAATAATTACTATGATTTTTCCCGGAGTTGTTACGGAATTTTCCCTTTTTAATGTGTCCTTGGCAGAATTTTATATCCACTTGACCTTGCGACGGGTTTGGATGGCTGTGAAAGGCAATATACAATGCATTTAGTTTTTCAAATAACACATTAAACAATAGAGGGCCAAAGTGTGCCCACTGTAGTGTGCAAAAAGGGAAACTGGGCATTTTAAAGAGTTACATTCTGCAAAGCAGGCCTCCACCAATTTATTCTGAGCTTCCTCAGCATGATCATACTTGAGAAAAATTGTTTATGCGAAATCTTTTTAAAACTTTGACATCTGAAACCTAGGGAAAATAAGTGACTGAAAAGAAATTTTGATAGGTAAAGCAAATACAAGGCAGGTTAACAAGAGTAAGACAAAAGTCCTGTATTGAAAACACCAATCAATGGGAGTGGAGACAGTGCGCTCCAGCCTAGGTGCTCCGCCCTAGCTGGAAGGTCTGAAGGTCTTGCAAATTCACTCACACTACTTGAGCCTCATTTTCTTCATGTAGAGAATAAAATGTTGGTTAAACATCACTTACAGGTTTTAGTATGGATGTTTATAATCCCAAAATAAATTGGGGAAACCTATATTGCCTGTATCCATGGTAAACAATATAAGTCCAAAGTCTACTTCTCATACAGTGCCGTGACCTCACCGTGAGTCACAAGTGAAGGCAAACAGGAATCTCTGTAGGAACCAAATGAGTCTATGACTCATCACACAAGGATGATTGGGCCCAGTACGGACTAGAAAGATAAGATCACATCCGACCATTTCTGAGTGTCATTGTGACCATTTACAGACTTTTAAATGGGAGACAAATAGCATGATGAGTCATCTAGAAAGAATAGCATCTTGATAAGATTTCGAGCCAAAAGGGCTTACGGTATTTCCAGTGCTATCACACAGAAAGGGGAGGCTTGGAGATATCTGGGGGCTCAAGAAGACAGAACAAAACACCAGATGACCAATGTGAACTACTATTAATAATAATTTACCTGGATATAAGGACATAAAAATGAAGAAACATCAGTGAAAAACAGTTAGTCCCTAGTATCAGAAATAACACCAAGGGAGCCACGAGCCTAGATTCCTCCGCTCAGCGATAGGACTATGAACCTTAGCCACTCTGAGTTAGACTTTCTCTGAGTTAGAAATGTTCACAGAATAAAGATGATCCATCACAACTCTGCAGAGTTAGAAGACACATGGAAAGTTATCTAGTTGGTTCAGCCCACATTCAGTGAATGCTGGCTTAAGAGGTGTAACTCTAATCTTCAGTTCTGGATAATGCATGGGTAATCTCCAAATTACAAAAAGGACCAACTGGAGGAGCTCTAATTAATCAAAAATGAGAACTGTTTTAGGGTTGCAAGTACATGTGGTACACAATGCCGTATGAGGCCCAAGAGCACTTAATGGGAAAAAGCAGAGTTGGAGGAGGAAGATATTAAGAAGATGCTGACAGGCTGGACTGCTCATCCATAGGTTTGACTCCTTTCCAGACGGCACTGTCTGTCACGCTAACTGGAAAAGGCTCTCTCCCTGCTTTCTGGTCCTCTATTCCTCTCTGTTGATCCTTCCCTGCTTCTCACTCACGACTTCAGCTGCCATCTAGGAAATTTAGGTATCTATCAATGTGTTCCTCATCCACTACAGTTACTGTTACGAGATTATGGTAAGGAAAAGGAAACAGATTTGAGTCTCCGCTGGGTCCACTCTAGAACTAAAAATCTGGCAGTAGTTTTACATATCAAACATGTGCTATGCCTTCCACGTCGGGGAGACTTGAAAATGGGAACCTGTTTTCCAAAAGTTTTCAGGGTAATGACTGACTAGAATTGGATATTTGCTAATAAATAAATTAGTTACGTGAATAAACTCTACAGACTTAGAGAGCACTGTTTTACAACACAGTTTTAAAAGCACACACACGTATGTCCCAAGGGTGACCTTTCAAAAGCAAGTTTCCAATGGCAAGTTACAATGTTCTGAAACTTGAAAGCCTCTGTGAATATGTACAAGTTATGAGGACACAGTTAAGTCACCAAGAACTGACTTAGACTAACAGTGAAGCAGTTGATGGTGTGTAATCCCAGTCGTATGACTTTTTGCTAACATGGAGAAGAGTCAGGAAAGTAGGAAAATGGGAATAAACCAGATACATTTGGCATTTCTGGAATTGTAGCAGTATACATAAATTTGTCTCAGTAATTATAAAATCAATGTGAAAAGACACTGTACTCTTAATTCATAAAAAACATTAGCTATCATCTTGAAAACCACAACCTTAAAAGGAAAGTTGTATGCACCTTTAGTACAGCTGGTTTAATCTGCAAACAGAAATAACTCAAAAGTGTATTATGTATCATGTACATGGGGCATTCAAAACTATCTGATCACCAGAATAAAGAGACAGTTCTAATCTGAAAATACCACATAATTAAAAAGACCAAACTCAACCATTTTCTTGCAGTTGTGTTTTCTATAGAAAGAATTATCAGAGAGAAAAAAAATAGCACTTTACCTATTCCTCTTGTATATATCAACATTTTAGGACACGACTGGAAAATTAGTATTTTCTTTTTAAAAGTAAGAACAAAGTAACATGTGCATGTATGTATCAATTGACTTTTTAATATGGCTAGAAATCTCTTTGGAAATATTTTAGGAAAAACATTTCTGACCAAATTTGTAGAATATAGTTTTTAAAATAAACTGTTTTCACTTAAATCAGTTGCAAATTGTTTTTACTGAGTGCAATTAGCATTGAGTCCAAATTCATAAAATGTAGACATTTTAGGCTTCACTAGAGTACAGGTATCTTAAGCGATACTTTTGGTACTTCTAGAATAGGCCTTCAATTTTCTTTTCATCTGTAGAATTACCTGCCAGGAAAAAACTGAGTAGTTTCTTCCTGTTCTGTTCACTTCATCAAAGTCCAATAAAGGAATTAAATGAAGCGACAGTATTATATACTGTTACCTAGATCTTGACCTAGTAATTGATTTGATATCCTTCTTGTCGTCATCTAATTTCTTGTCCTCGGAAGATTTCGTGTCTTGCAGGTTCTCATCGCCCTCATCATCGGACTTGATTTCAGAGCTGCCAGAGGAGACACTCTGCCCCTGTAGTCCTGGTGGCATGCCTGAGAGAGAAAGGAGGGAAGGGGAAGGGAGGGGAGGACAGGGAAGAGAGGGGAGGGGAGGAGAGGAGGAACCAGGTTACATATACACCAAAACTCGATGCACAAACACACGCACTTCAGATTGCAAGGTTGCCAGCTAGACAATTCATTCTGCTGAACTGTTATCCTTCTGTCACTTTTTCCTGCTATCTGGTGAAGTTTCAAAAATGCACCTGCGGAAACAAGTTTTTCCTACATTGGCTCTGAGGTTAAATTCTATTTTGCAATCTTTTGGAGTAGATGGTAATTTCACTGTCTACAAAACATCAACTTAATTGCAATGAAAATCATAATCATGAAAATCACACACCTCAATGTTCTGATTAAGAACCCAAGTAAATATCACTATTATATTGAGTTTCTTCCATATGCAATGATTTAATAGAAAAATATCCTTAAAATATAATTCCCAGGCAGTACGCTAAATATGTGCAGTCAAGACTTCAATAGATACCCTAATGATACTCTGAAATTAGGCTTCTCTTATCGTCAAGGAGTAATCAGCATTTAAAAATGTACATATAGAAGGCAGTTCACTGCTTACTAAAGAAATTTCTAGGTTTATCACTGCTCAACTTTCTGAGATCACATTACATTTTAAAACATGGTCTTAATGTAATTTATATCTCATGGAGGTGCATTCCTATTTGGGTTTCCTTTTCTTTGTAATCTATGCATCCTACAACTGTCACTCAATTTGGTCCATGGCTCCAAAGCATTCTCATCACCTGGAAGCCATCAAAAATGCCTAATCCACATCTAATGAATCAGAATTTGCATTTTTAACAAGATCCTCAGGTCCTGCTTATTACATCTGCCCTTTAAGAAGCATAGAACTAAAACAATGAGGGCAAAACCAAACTCTTTAAAAGAAAAGGCCACTAGATTTTTACTAGCCAAAAGAAAATGGACAGCTGTACCAATAAATGTACATAACTAATACTCAGATGTGTATCATGGCCAGAGGTTGAAAAGTTATACGGGCTCCTCAGGTAGTGTGGTCCTGTTTTAAGTGTTAAGGGAATGAGAAGATGTTATATTAGTGATCACTAGACAGTATGACCAGCCAGGGGCATAGAGTGGCTAGCTATAAATCTGGTCTGTGCAGTCCAACTTCTTGGAGACATGAAAAACCCCTACAGTGAGGGTTTGGGAGGCATCGTTATAGGGCTAGATGATTTAAGTGCAAAAACCATCCAATCAAGTTCCAGGTTTTAAATGCACCTACATTTCCTTCCATCTTAAACAACAAAAGTATTTTCCTTCCTTCCTATTCATTTGGAAATGTCATTTTCAGGCCACAAATAACCATATTAGAGGGCCAGGATGAGTACAATGTGGAAATAGCTAAAATAAAATTTCCTGTCATCAGTCTGTTGTCTCATTCCCTTCTGAAAATGGGACTGGGATTTCGGAGGATATTTGAGGAAAACAGTTACCAAAGAAACACAATTAGTAGGCTACATTCTAGCTTTCTCATTTACTAGCCATTTGAGTACCAAATTTGATTCTTGGTTTGCTGCTGGTGCTTCCTGAGGGCTGACAGCTGGGACTGCTCAGCATCCTCTTGGGGTGCACTGCTAACTCAAGGTCAGAAAAGCCCTTCTGAAGTATACTTACCTCTGTATGGGTCCTGGGGAGGGTTCAAATCAGGGGAGGTTGCAGACTGGACAGGAAGCTGTGGAACCGGAACCTGGTTTGGCAGGAGAGAATGGCTGCCTCTCAGGGCCACGCCATCTTCACGATGGGCCCCAACCTGAAGGGATGACAGGATGTGCTTAGTAGGAGCAGGAGGTACAAAAGCTGTTCCCAGGGGCAGCAAGGCCCTAAAGCAGGAAGGCTGGCCTTGAAAAATGCAATTCTCACAAATGTGACTCACTAGAGGGCGCTGGAGGACTGCACATGTGCCTATAGTGATCTGCAAAAACACTTATCGCTCAGTAAGATGCCGTGCTGTACATCCAGTGACAAATATGGCAGAGTAGCTCAGGCAGGTAAAACGTCAAATTGTCTCCCAGGGTGCTGCAGTGGAGCGCACTGATTCGTACCCATCTGTCTTCTATCATGTCCGCCAACAGATCTGACAATTATCTTAATGCCCATATGCTTAATTGTGGGCTTCTCAATTCCCCCATTGCTATCGGAAATCCTACAGGAATTTCAATTTGGCATTCGACTTTCATTTCGGGGGATAAGATTCTCAGGCCTGCCATTTTTTTCCCCATAATGCCAGCTAAGCCTCTGACAGTGGAAGCTACAGCAGTGTGGGACATAGCCCCTGCTCGGTACAAATATAATAAAATGTCACCTGGCTTTCCAAAACTGGCAGCCCATTCCAAATTAATGTTTACTGTATTTCATCAGCTGCTGAGTTCCAAATCCAAAGGGGGACCATTTATGCCAATGCCACCACACCGGAAAATGTACCAATAAAGGTTTTATTAAACACACCAGTAATGTCATCATTGCCACACAAGGATGTTTGGACATTTTTCCATTTTTTTTCACTACTCTCACTGTAGAAAGATACCATATTGAAAACATTCCTTATGCTTCCAAGAATAAAATTATGGAGTGCAGCATGATTACTGGATTTTAAAAAATACTGCTGAGGTTTTTTATTAACTATTACTACCTATGCTGAACTTGTGTCACTGAAGCAGCATTTGTTGACTTCATAAAACATGCCTTAAAAAGCAGAATTATTAAGCATTTGTAAACCACAAAGAACATGAACAGCTCATATCATCTTTGTATTTCCAAATAGTTATTTTTTTAGCCTACTGTTAAGTGAACAGTTATGTCAGACAATAGGTCTAACACTAAATAACATTAATCTGTGAATTTACACTACCATGAATATTTATTTCTAATCCAAAGATGCAAAACCATAAAGTGGAATCTTGATCGTTTTACTACCAGAATGTTGTAGTTACCCAAGTATTTCCAAACAATGCAATGATAGTAACTGAATCAACAACAATCAAATTCACAGGATCGAAGCTAGCCAAGTATTAAGTATCACTTTTAATGCATATGTACTACTACACAATACAAAAGAAAATAATTCCAGGCAAGAGTGGGGTGGAAATGTAGTTCATCTAAATGATACTAATTGTTCAGATAAAAAAAAAAAAAACCAGCAAGAGTCGTAATGACTTAAAGGCCTATAAATTTTAGCTGAGAGATCTGGGAAGCCGAGTGCCATGTGCACCCAGTGCTCGTGTTATAAACTGGAACTTTCTGAGCGGTAGTTATGTAGCCTCAATGTGACTTCTTCAAATGCACTGAGATGCTGGTCACCTCCCATCTATCTCCAACTACAAACTGGCTTTTCGGTAGACGCCAGTCAACGGCCTTTGCTTTAGCTGTGGAGCTCCATGGGATTAAGTACAGGGTCTCCTCCAAGTCAAGCTTGGTGTCACACTAGACCTTTTCCTCTGTAACTCAGGTCTGCTCTTACAACAACATCCCATGCCCACTTTGCTCCTTTCCACATGTGTCCCCAAATAAGTATGTGATAGTGACTCTCTGTTAAGATTTTGGTTTGTGGTGTTTATAGCCGTGCATTTAATAGACTGAGTCAATTAATTTCTCTTTCAATCTAAGATCTCAAATTATAAGGATGAATCTTACAGTCTTTGATCAAATAGTAGATCTTTATGCCTGCCACTCAATGTGATACCAAATAACTGCCCTAGTATCAATTCATATTTAATGGTATTCCCAGAGGATTTAATTTTTTGAATTTCTATAAAGAATGATCTTTAAGTTATAATCACAGATTCAATCTTAATGGAAATGTATGTGTCTTCTATGCCAGAATTATTCTATTAATGTTCTCAAGCTTTATACTCATCTGTGCTATAATTTAGGTTTGTTAATTTATTTTTCATTTAAAATGTATTCAGTTATTGATCCTGAAACTTTTTCTCTAAATAGCATTTAACCAAGTTCTCAACAGAGGAAAAAAGAACCCACAAATATTATCTTTTTATTTTCTTTGCCTCAATTGATATGAAAATCAGTATAACTAATAATATAAGGCAACTACACGTAGGTTTTTAATGTGGCTGGTTTCTTAGCTGTCCTATAAGGTGCTCAAATAGAAAATGAAGAAAATAATACTAAAACTACAGAGAATAAATCCCACGATGATGATAAAGAACATCAATGGTATATCAAAAACATCTTGTACATAACAGTTACACAAATGTTACACCTAGTAGTTTTTTTTAGTTTATTGGTTCATTTTAGATATGCATAATGATCACATTCATCACAGTGAATTTGTACCTGTACCCGACACACGCAAAAAGAAGCAAGTAGTACATTTTAACTGAATGTACTTGCATATTACATAAAACTAATAGTTCATGAAATTAAAGGATCTTGAAAAAAGCTGTCTTCACTTATGGTCATCTTTGTGCTCCTGGTATCTATGGTATACAGATCTATTTGATTTTAAATCTTTTACCTGAACAAAGACAGTAAAATCTTAAACCATGTATTTGAGAATACATGTGTGAAAACGACATTTTTATTTGGATTTTAGGCATCCATGCTACCTAACTTGGTCTATTGTCTATATAGATAATCTTAGATCATCTCAAACATTATGAGCCATTTTTCTAGACAGGAAGATGGAGACAAATCTTGTCTTTGCTGTTTTAAGGTTTCCCTTTTGACTGTGGATATTTTGTTTTTTCCATTTATTTACTTTTTGGCACTGGGGATTGAGCTCATGACCTCATACATGCCAGGCAGGCACTTGTACCGCTGATCTAAACCCCCGGATATTTTGGATCCCATGAATGACTTCTATAGATCCAGTACTGAGCTTAGTACTGAGCTTAGTTCTCTAGGATCAATTCTATTGCCTATGACTGAGGCAGAGTATTCCAATCTGAAAATACAGCTTGTTTTTGCTGGTTTCTGTGGCTTTAGACAGCATGTTCTAACTCTACTTATTTCTCTTTTAGAAACAATATTTCTGTTCACATAAAAGAAAGACTGTGAATAATCTGTATAAATTTATCACTAGAAAAACTCCAAAAGAGACTTTGGAATCAGAAGTGTGCTGTGCATATATATAAGGGCTGGTGATTTTGCTCTCATTTCATATAGTAAATACATAATATAAGCAGGAAAGTCTAGATTTATTCAATACACAAATCAATTTTTAAGTCTCATGTTTGATGTGAATTTTTAGAAAATTCACATTCAGTAAAGGCCTATTTTGATAAACTTTTCAGTTTTATAGCAAGGTTAAAGTCAGGTTATGAAAAGCTGATTTTGTTAATACTCAGTGCAAACATTTTTGCAATTTTTGTCTTTTGATAGACATACACAATATAATAGTTTTAGATACATTATGCTAAAAGCTAAAGATAGAAGTAAAATTTTAAATAATTATTAATTGATGGATTAGAAAGTCTATTCATACATCAACAAACATTTTCTATTCTCGTCCATGCCTGTCAGCTTTTTGAAGTGCCACGACACAGTGATGAATAACTCAGATGTGGTCCCTGTCCTCACAGAGCTTTGTGAAATTTTGTGTACTCATCAATTTAATGTGCTAATTTTAGTAGCAAAGAACAGAGACCTATTTTAAGTAAAACGAAGTTTGTCATAAAGGTCTTGGTAACCTGCATTTTGCATCCCGAGATCTCTGGAGACCTGAGGCCACCGCGGCCCTGATGGGCTCCTTGGCCCTCTCTCAGCCCTAGGTACCTCTGCTTCTCTGAGGCTTCTGCTCCTCCCCATGCAGCCTGGTCTCTTCTTCCTTCACAGTCTTTTTTGGTACATTCTTTTAGAATCTATACCTGCCACTAACTCCCTCTTGGTTTTAGTATTTCTATATTCTGAGTGACGGCATCATCTGATGCCCAGCTCATCATTTTGAAGAAATCCAGGATCCTATGAATAACCCACTCCAGGACCAGGTGTTTTTTGGGATCCAACAAGCTGTAGCCCAATCATGGCTACCTCAGCCTGCTCCTTTTGTAGACCTCGTAAATCGTGGCTGAGAAACGTAGGTGCAAATATCTAAGCTACATTTTATCTTAGGTCAAGTTATAGTCAAATGTTGACACAGCTATTTAAATGCAATCATGTGAATTTACCTCTGAGACTAATTAAATACCTTTAGATATGTATTACTTCTTTTGAATCATGTAAATATCATATAATTTTAAGCAATCATACTTTCCAAGAAAAAAGTCAATATATTAAAAGCATTTTAAAATTATAGACCATAGATCTTAAGGGTTTGAAGAAACTTAAAAATTGTGCCAAAGTATTTTACAGAGAAGAAAGGTAGAGCTGAGAATGGTTGAATAACAGTCAACCTCTAGTTAGAGAACTAAAACATTCTGAACTCAGAAAATTTGTAACACTGAACATTTTGATTGGATGCACACACACACACACATACACATACAGAATTAAGGGTGAAAAAGGAACTTCTTGGAGCCTTTGTTTTAAAACTGTGTGCATGCATGCACACGCATATACCTATATCCAAAACTATTATAAATATACATACATATGCATAGACAGACATAAAAATCATTCTAGTTTTGTCATAGGAAAAAATCAGAGTTCACCACCTCAGTCCAAGGCCAAGATATCTAACTAAATTACAAAATGTAGTATCTGCCACGACTCTTCCAACATAAACAGATTTAAAAGACATGAAGTTTCAAATGAGGTGGCTGTTGGCCAGGCTGTTTTTATAGCAGGATGCATGCA